CCACAGCTCGGGGAAAGTGGCCACGTCTCGGTGTCTCCCGGGAGAGCAGAGGGACCAGCGGCACGGCCCCGTCCGTGGCTCTTGAGTTTGCAGCAGCACTGGGGCAAAGCTGCCTGGCCACGTATCCCCGCAGACCCTTATGTTTCCCTGGGGACTTTCCCAAAGGTTTTATCTGCATCCCTGGGCTGGAAACCAGGGGACTGACCGGCGGCTGACTGGGGTGATGGCTACGAGCCTGGGAGCAGGACGGTGCCACGGACGAGGGAGCAGAATGCCAGGCAAGCCTCAGCAGCCGAGCTGGGGCTGCGGGGTCTCGGCACGCCCCTGTCCCATTTTGGGTGCTTACAGCCAGACCATTTCTCAACCTCCACGTCCGTTGGCTAACGAGCGGGAGCCCAGTCGGTTTGTGCCCTCCCCACACCCCCATGCAGCGGGGAATGGAGGGGGTTTTGGCACAGCAGCAGGAGTTGTTTAGCTGGTAAACCCAGAGCGTGGCTGAGCACTGGCCCCAAAAGATTTGCCCATAGCTTTGCGGGGGGGAATCCCACCAAATCAGTCAAAATCTGGGCTCAGAAAAGAGCTGGTGGGACAGACCTGGTCAGCAACGAGCCCCAAGCGACTTGCACCTCCACCCCGGTGCCTGGTTTCTGGGCAGGCAGCGGGAGGAGAGGGCAGGGGGCTGGCTGGGCACTGCAGGGGGCTTGCTGGGCACCCCAGGGGGCTTGCTGGGCACCCCAGGGGGCTGGCCAGGCACCACATCCCCCATCCCACAGTGGAAAACTGAGAAAAGCTGCGGCTGAGAGCGCCGGGCACTCGCGGGGCCCTCGTGTGCTGGGGAGGAGCTGCCGATGGCGTTCCTCCATCCTGCAGCCCCGGCAGGGGAGCAGGCGTTTGGCCTTGTAAAGGGCTGCAACTGTCGGCACGGCTTTCCAGGAAAAACACGGAGATGGACGAGATTCAACCGTGCCTGTTCATCGCGCTCCCGCTGCCTCTTAGCCCTTCATTTCTGCTGGTAACCTGTCAGCGTGTCTCTCCGGAGGGAGAGCCCGGTGCTAACGAGTCCCACGCTGGCTGGGATCTCGTTCCAGCCCCGGCAGCACCCGAGGGGTAAGGAACACTTTAGCACCCGTGGAAATGCTGGGATCCCCTCTTTAGCCTTTCCACAGGCAGGGTGTCCTCCAGCCTAAGCGGTGGCTTGCGTTCCCGGCCGAAACCGCCCGCTACGGTGGATTTCCTCCCAAATCCGCCTTTTCAGACTCCTAAAGCATTCCTGAAGTTTCAGCCTGTCAGGCAGAAACAGCCGTGACTGCCCTCGGCCCAGCAGCCGGCTTTGGTAAAGCGGCTGAGCAAACCCCAGCCCCCTTTCCGAGCGAGGTATCCGTGGAGAAAGCGCTCTTCCCTTGCTAAGTACAGCCAGGTCCAGCTGGGGATGGCAGGAGCCCAAGGTAGGATGTTACGGTTTATTTTGGAAGCAGATGCCAGAGGAGGTGAAGCTTTTAAAGCGTCTGGCTGAGCAGATGCAGGGAAACGGCGAGCCCGGGCGGTGGAGCCTTCCAGCCCTTTATTTGCAGGAATTTCTGGCTTTGCTGATATATATACAATGCGTTCCTTCGCTTGTATTAATTTATTTATTTATGTGTAGGTCGAGCTTTGCTCTCCCGACAGCTGGAAATCTTTTCTTCGCTGCTTATTCTTCCTTTTAAATCTCCAGGAGCCGCTCACGCACGGGCTGAGCGCTGGTGCCGGGCGAGAGGCGTCTGCCCCGCGAGCGTGGTTTTCGGCACGGCCGGAGGAGCGCAAACACACCTGGTCTGGCGGCTGGGGACTCCCACGTCGATGGCTCCGGTACAAGGGTCCCTTAGGACGTCGCAGGAGGGACGGGGGAAGCCTGGCTGGGTGCTCAGGTTTTGGGGGGTTGGGGAGGGTTCAGTGAGAGCCCCCCAGCATCCCCTCCCACCAGCGCAGGACAAATTTTACGAGCCTGGTGGAACTGAAAAGCCTCCTCCAACCTCAAAAGCCCAGCTATTTTTTTTTTTTTTTCCCAAAGAAAATAGATTGCGATGGAGAAACGCTTCTCCCAGAAAGCTGCTGCTTCCTGTGAAAAACTTTATATCCCCATAAAAATACCCAAAGTCAACAGTTGCCTTTGCCTCCAAATGTTTCTGGTTCTCACAGGGCTGTTACGATACCGGTTCCAAAATGAGAAAGCCACATTTTCTGGGACAGGTTTCAGGTTTTGGTGGGGGTTTTTGGTTGTTTTTTTTTTTTTTTAAAAAAAAAAAAAAGCACCAGCTGGCTTTTATCTGCGCCCTGCTCCGCGTTCCCAGAGCGGTCCCCGGGCGGAGGCGATGCCAACCCTTGTATTTTCACTGCAGACAGCCATGCTAGTCTGGAATCCCAGGGCCGTGGGCCGTGTTGTCCCCGCTCTATGTCCCAAAAACCCACGGAGGGAACCTTTTCCGAGGGCGTTAAACACCGCGGTATCCACCCCAGCTTTGGAAATCCCATGCCAGAAGCAGGCAGAGGCAGGGAGGGAGGCTGGGGGAGCGTCGCTGCCTGCTGGGGTGGGCCTTACCCTTTTTTTGGAGCAGGTCTGAGCAAGGTGGCTCCAGCGCTGGTGGGAGTAGCCGTAGGGGGGACGGTTCTGCTCTTCGGCACCTTGGGGAATTCAGCTCCCCCAAGGAGGCAGCGGGGCGGGAGGGGGAATGCGTTGCGAGAAGGGAGCTCAAACCGCAACCGGAGGCGATCCTCGCTGCGGAAAACCCCTCGATCAAGGGGCTGCCACACGTGGCACGCACAGAGCCAACGTCTGTGCCAGCTCTCGGTGACACCCCCCCCCCCTGCACAAACCACCCTAAAGGCTTTCGGGGCAGGAGTGCAGCTGGTGGGGTTCGTGCTGTCATTTGGGGTGCAGCGGCATCGCCCCTAAAGCTCGTCCCAAGTGGGTCCGTCGTCACCTTCCCCGCTTACCTTCCAGCCTTTGATCGGGTCCCTCCCAGTAAAACCCCTGGGGCTGCGGAAAAGCTCCCGCGCTTCTCCACGGCTCCACCGAGGCCTGGCAGGGGATTCGGCCGGGCAAGGAGGCTCTGCCCCGAGAAGGTCCTGGCCCCATCCCGGTGGGGCGAGCACACGGGGGAGACACAGGAGCGACACCGCGGGCAGGGGAGCTGGGTGGGAACAGGGACCATCGCCTCCTCCACCCGCTGTGGGCATCAGCTATGGCGTCCTCCAGGGCTTCCGAGGCTGATTAGCGCCAGCTGGTAACGACGTGTGAGCCCTCCTGCCACCCATCCCAGGGCTTTGCCCAAACTGGGGCTCCCCGGGGTCTTACCAGGCACCAGCAAA